ATTCCCAACATTCTGTTCACTTTTTTGACTGCCGCTGCACATTGAGTGGATGATTTCAGAGAACTATCCTCAATGACTCCAAAATCTCTTTCTTGAATGATAACAGCTAATTTAGACCCCATCATTGTATATGTATAGTTAGGATTATGTTTTCCAATGTGCATTACTTTGCATTTATCAACATTCATCTGCAATTTTGTTGCCCAGTCACCCAGTTTTGTGAGATCCTTTTGTGCACTCTGCCTGGGACTTACCTATCTTGAGTAGTTTTGTATCATCTGCAAATTTTGCCACCTCACTGTTTACTCCTTTTTCCAGATCGTTTATGAATATGTTAAATAGGACTGGGCCCAGTACAGTTCCGTGGGGGACACCACTATTTACCTCTCTCTGTTCTGAAAACTGACCATTTATTCCTACCCTTTGTTTCCTACCAATCCATGAGAGAACCTTCCCTCTTATCCCATGACTGCTTATTTTGCTTAAGAGCCTTTGGTGAGGGGCCTTGTCAAAGGCTTTCTGAAAATCTAAATACACTATATCCACTGGATCTCCTTTGTCCACATGCTTGTTGACCCTCAAAGAATTCTAGTAGATTGGTGAGGCATGATTTCCCTTTACAAAAAACACGTTGACTATTTCCCAACAAATTATGTTCATCTATGTGTCTGACAATTTTGTTCTTTACGATAGTTTCAATCAGTTTGCCCAGTACTGAAGTGAGGCTTACTGGCCTGTAGTTGCCAGGGTCATCTCTGAACTGATCTGAAGGGTACAAACACTATGGTGGGGGGAAAGAATTGTTTAAGGGGATATTAAGGGGAATAACTAGATGTGATGGGATGAACTTAAGAAAAAGAAAAAATTTAGGCTGAATACCAAAAAAAAAACCTTCCTGACAACGAGACAGATGGAATCATGTCCCATGGGAAATGATGGAAGTCCCATAGCTTGGGTCTTTTAAACCAGACAAAGCCCTGGAAAGTATAGTGTAGGGAACAATGCTGCTCTAAGCTGGATGGCCTATGAGGTATTTCCATCTCTAGTATCAGGGATGCTGTTCTATTTTAGCAGGCTAAAATCTTGAAAATTAAAGGTCATCAAGTCACTTACCATAAATGCCACATGTACCCCAATTTTCAACTGGAGAAGATGCAGGGCTGCTTAGCTGGGACTGACATCTTCACAAATGCTATTGCTTCTTGAAGTTACTGGCTATGCAAGAGAAATATGGGCCTGATTTTCAGAGCTCTGAAACGCTTACAACTCCAACTGAAAGTATGCGGGGGGAGAGAGAGGAGCCCCTCTGCAACCAGGCCCTATGTGGTACTCAGACTGGCACTTTTCACTGCATTGTCCCAATGCAGTGGTACAAAATTCAGGGAATTAACTGACAAAGACTCTAAAAGCAGAGCTACAGTTTTCTATGACCTTTAAGCATTTCAGAGCTGGGGGTCCCCAAATCCTGGATCAAGAGAGGGAAGAAGCCAAGTGACAAGGGCCTTCTGAAAGAAATGTCTCCCCAAATCAGGAGATGTCAAGGCTGTATCCCCACTTTGAACTTTAGGGTTCAAATGTAGGGGCCTGCATGAAAACTTCTAAGCTTATCTACCAGCTTAGCTTTGGTCCGCTGCCACCATCACAAGAATTCCCTCCCTGGGAAGCCTTGAGAAACCTTTCACCAATTCCCTGGTGAACACAGATCCAAACCCCCTTGGATCTTAAAACAAGGCGAAATTAACCATCCCCCCTCCTTCCTCTCACCCTCCAGCGTTAGTATAACCATGCCTGAACTCTTATCACCTCATCTTTGCAAGCCACACCCTCTATAAGAAGAATCATTCTCAGCTGTTAGTCTCAAGGTGCCAAAATGGCTCCTCTGAGTCTCCTTTTAAAAGGACATTGTCAAGTATTTTTGGCCCCAACTTTAGGATTTGTAATTAAGTGAAAAAAGAGGTTGGGAGCAACAAAACATTATGAATAAAAATATTTTCCAAATGTACACAAACATATATATTTTTTCCAGTGGAAAATGTTTGTATTTGAAACTTCCCTGGCAGTGTTAGGAGCCCAAAGGACAGCACTGAGCAGTACAGGAGAAATAGGAAGTAAAAGTGACTAGAACCAGAAAGTGAAATCAACCAGTCTAATTTCACTCTCTGAAGGGTAAGCAAAGTGCCCAAAATAAACAAACTGCACCAGTGGGGACCAGTACATTAGATTTTAAAAACTCCATTTTAATCATTAAAATGTGGTTAATTACACAGGTAACAATATTGTTATTATACTTTTTATTTCCACAGAGTCGCTTTTCTTTATTCTGGTCACCGTTGGTCAGGTAGCTTGGCCAGGGCGGGGAGGTAAGCAGCAGTTTTGAGGACTAGAACACATTCTGAGCTATGAATTAGCCACAGTGATGGTTTGATTCTCTTTCACCGCCTTGTCCCCATTGCAAAAAAAAAAAAAAAAAAAATTATCTTTTTATAGTGCTAACAGCTTGCACCAAAGGAGTGTCCTGCAACCTCAAGAATGTCTCCTCTCCCCAAAGGCTTGAATGGAGGAAGAATGCAGCTTGCCTGGATTAAAATAAAGCTAGTTATGTATGCTGTTTAGTAAAATATTTCAAGAAAGCATTTTCCTTAGGAAAGGTATGTCACTGGAGCCCTGATTCCACCTGGGACTTCCAATGTGATGCTTCATATGAGATCAGATGCAAGATGGCAGTTGATCAGGGACTATTTGCTATTACCTCTTAATGTGACTGCAATGTTCCCTCGCCAAATGAAAGCTCCGGAAGGTCTCCACTCAGTTCCTTCCAGTCACTGCACATACCTGCGGTCACAATGCTGGTTTTTGGCAGCGACCCTGGGAACTTCAAAAAAAATGGAGATTGCATGGCTGGTTTAGGCAGTGACATGAGTCACTGCAGGGCAACTGAGTGTGCAGTACTGTATTGTGTAATGTTGTGTCTGGGCGGCAGCAGCTCTGGCAACTTCAGAATAATGGAGACAGGGCCGGCTCCAGCTTTTTTGCCGCCCCAAGCGGCGAAGGGGGAAAAAACAAAACAAAAAAAAAGCCGCGATCGGCGGCACTTCGGCGGCAGCTCTACCGCGCCACTTCGTTCTTTCCCATTGGCCGCCCCAAGCACCTGTTTCCTGCGCTGGTGCCTGGAGCTGGCCCTGAATGGAGAATATGATGCTGATCCTAGTAAATCATCGCGGAACAAACCAGGGTAATAGAGAATGTGATGCTGGCTCTATGCAACTACACCAGGAACCCAGGATAATAGAGTGTGGTGCTGGTTCTGGGTAGCTATGCCAAGAGCAGTGGAATAATTGACAACGCAGTACTGATTGTGGGTACCAGCCAGGGGTAGTCAAGGTTAACAGAGAATGTGACTTTGGATCTGGGCAGGGATACTAGGAACTACAGCTCTTTAATATTCATTGTAGAGATTATGAAACATTAGAAGCATGTTGTAAAGGTTTCATTGTACACATGTGCATCATTGTAGGGGGATGAGGTTAGACCATACCGTAAGGATTGAAATTCTGGCCATCAAAAGCCCCTAGAGTCTGCTACCTTGCCAAGAATGCAGCAGTTGTCCCAACCTCTTCACAGGGTTCTCATTATTCCTTAATCTCTCTGGGCATATAGATACACACACGTAACAAACTGAGGCCACGTATGTACAGACATTAGGCATATCAGTGGGGATCAAACCCAGGACTTTCAACACCAAGCCCACAATTTCTATAAACTTGAGCTAATGGAGTAGCTTGCGTAGCTGGTTGTAATTAGCAGGCTGTTATTCTCACTGTGGCTGACCACCAGCAGGAGACAGGATTATCCACATTAACAGTCTGATTTTCAGAGGCACTGAGCACCCAGAGCTCCTCCTGCCTTCAGCTGGAGCTGCTGGTGCGCAGCACTTCCAAGAATTAGGTCCTAAATCAATACATTACACATGCATCCTCAGGATCTTTTGTCTTCCTCTTCTGCATAGCTAGTGGGGGAAGAGGGACCTAGATTTTCCTTTTCCATGCTGGTGTAGCCGCTGAACATAATTCCTGGTTAGGTGATTGAATAATGGAATTGGCGTACCTGCTCCCTTCTCCACCTTCCCTCCACCACAGAAACCATCATCATGGGCATAATACATCTAAAGCTTATGCTCAGATAAATGTGTTAGTCTCTAAAGTGCCACAAGTACTCCTGTTCTTAATGGTGGGGTGGTTGGTCAACCAGCCTTGCCCCTTTTCTATCCCAAATGACTGAAATAAAGAGATTGTTATGTAACAAAAGATGCCATGGGGATGTACTTGGTGCAGCATCCTCTGCTTCCTGACAGGATTCCAAGCTGCCCTCTCCATCCCAAAACAGCCACTGAGGCAGGGGAACAAATGTCAATTCTTCTGGTTTATTCTCCGTCTAGATAGTTTTCGCCTTCCTGGCTTGGCTTTAAATTTAGACTGGGTAGATGGCTGCCAAGGGACCCATATGTTGGGTTCTGTGGTTCTGGGAAGAAAGACTGCAGGAAATAGCAATCTGCCCATGGGATTCCCTCTCACCACCCTCTCACTCCAAAAGTCCCTCCCCAAAACACAGGTTGCCAGAGGCAGCTGGCTAGTCAGCCAGAAGACAGATTTAATACCCCACTGAAAAGGAAGGGAAACAGCAAACCAGCGATGTGAAACTGGTGACTTGGGTAGGGGAAGTAAGAGAACCAATCCACCAGAGAACACCCCTGCATCTACTTAGTAGCTACCCCCAAGCATTAGCCCCCACCCCCTGTTGTAACCAAATAAAAATCACCATTACACATTTGTTTTCTAGGTAAATTTGGTATTGTTGTTGGGGGGAAGGCAGTCCTCTGATCTCTTAAATTCTAACACAGAAAACTGGTGGTCGTAGAACAGCAGTACCTTTCACTTGTCCTTCGAATGATTTAGAAACCTGGTAATTACAAAAAAGAAGATTGGTAGGAGCTTGTTGCTGGTCTTAGAGATGAAAAAGTCAAGCTGAGGTTCTGCTTCCTTCATTTGGTATGTCCAGGAGGAATGCTGTAGGCGGGGGGCAGCCTTGACAGAACTGGAGAGGAGAGAGAGGGGGAGATAAAAGAATAAAAACAGTTCCAGCCAAGGAACTTCACAGTATGGTTCCCCTCCAGTCCCATGCTCTCGTGCCCAAAAAGTCAACAGTTCTCTGTGGATCAAGGAGCACAGGGGGCCTTGGGAGGAGAATCCAGGTTAGCCACCACACTCGTCAGCACAATGCTATAGTTCAGCATCATTTTGCCAAGCAACAGTAGTGACAATCCTTCGAGAAGGATCAAGAGCTCGTCTTCTCATTAAAGCGGGTTTCCCCCAATGTTCTTGGGCGAAGAAAAGAAGGCGAAAGAAAGGTGCTGTAAGAGAGGAAATTAGAAAGAAATAGAAGAAACCCAGAGAGCGAGAAGGGAGCATGTTGGGCACAGCTTAGACCCGGGTATGCCTACAGGTTCGCGAGGTGCCTGAGGCTGAGGCAGCCACAGAAGTGGATGGGGACTCCTCATCTGTCGTGTCTTCCTGATCTTCCTTGTGGAGGCCGAGGTTGATGTGGCTCTGCAAGGCTGCTGGGGTCAGCCACTCCTTGGGGAGGCAACTTTGGAGGAAAGGGATGCACGAGCTGAAGTAGGCTAGGCGATTCACCCAACGGGGGATCTCCTTCCCACACAGGATCTGCAGAGCAAACAGAAAAGGAACATGGTTACCAACACCAAGGCATGTGTATCATGAGGCTGCTATGAAGACCACCACCTCCTCCTCCCCAGTCAGTCAATGGCCTGGATTCCTCAGTGCTCAGAAGATTCCTGTTTGATTACAGGGGCTATCTTTTGAGGTCACAGACAGCCTTAAACTCAAACAATGTAAGCTTCTTCTTGGGGTGCCTTAGGCAAACTCCCAAGTGACTGGCCAACCCAACCTGTCCCTCGATCAGCAGGTTTGGGGAAGGTGGGGAAAACTACTCCTGTCCTCTCTCTCTCCTCTGGCATTTTGAGACCTTGTTCTTATTTGGGGCTCATAGATCAGAAAGCCAGTCCTGTGGGTAGCTCTCAGAACACAGTTAATGCCATTTTCACTCTGTAATGCCAAAAGATTTGGACTGACATTGCCCTGAGCTTCATTAAGCTGACGTTTGGCCATAACCAGGTGAATAGATGATTGTGAGGAACTATTCTGTCTGCTCCCCACTTTCTGTAACATTGATGCAGTCAGGTTGATTAATCTACAAAGTAGATTTATGCCACAGCACCTTGAAGTTCTTTTCTTATTGTAACTCTTAGCCCCTCCTTTCTTCCTTAAAATAAACTACTGAAATAGGAAAAAGAAACAACCAAGAACAAATCCCATTATCTTGTGGGTCCTACACAGACCACATGCATGGCATGTGTACTGCCATGTTTTGTTTTGCTTTGCTAATAACCACACAAAATCTGACATGATGGCATGGGATGGCTCAGGGGATTGTTTTTGTGACACAGACCCTTTCTCCCTTAGGCCATGAGTCCAAATACATTTTTACTGAACAACATTAGCATGTGGAACTACTTTAAAGTTTAGAGATAAGTGTAGGAAACCCAGGGCATTGGTACTAAGCATCAGAGAAGTGAATAGAACCATATCCCTTGAGTAGCTCTTTTGCTGCCAAAATTACTTGTAAACACCCAAGTTATGTAGGAATCAGTAATGTTCTACATTTTCATTTTGGGGACAAATTCCTACCTCGGTGACTTCCTCATGGAGTCACCACTCCTCCCAAATTTCTAAACACCACTTCCAGATCTTTTCATGGACCATACCCTTACTACATGGGTTTAAGAATAGTTAACAGGAAAGGATCTGTAGCCCAGACTGATCCACAAATCACAGTTTGAGAACTATTGAATAAGACTTTGTCAGCAGGTCATTTTAGTTCCATCCAGGATCTTAAGAAAATTCATTTTTAAAATTATATTATATAAATTTAGCCCAACATTCACCTTTGAAAAGCAAATATTTTATCCATCTATCTCCTTGAAGCCTGACCAGTACCTCCAAACCTAGTACCATTGCCTCCATTTTTGGTTGCATTTCCCCTCAATCCCTTTTCCAGCCCCAGTAGCTCTGGTAACATACCGCCTCCTTGGAAAATGAATATATAAAATAAGGGGCCGTTTTTTAAAGTATGCATTTAATTCTGGGGAAAGGCGCTGGATCAAAGCTAAGAAGGAATCACAAAAATACCATTAGAACAATGAACATAGTAGTGGAGCTTCTGGAGAATTAGTGCTAGAAAAAGAGCAGCAGAAGGAAGGAGAGGTTGGAGTGGCTGTTTTGTTTGATTCCTTTCACTAAGCAGCTCAGAAAACTGTGACAATTGCTCCTGCCATTCCCTATGTGGCAATGATGCTGAAGGATTTTGCTTTTATTAGCTTTTTCACAGGGCAAATCAATGAAGCCAGGAGGAACTGTAAAACTTACTTAAGGACATGTGGGCATCAGGCCATCACTCACCAATTAGGGCAGTTTATGGAGCTTGAGGGCAATGATGACGCCTAAGATCACGTCTACACTAGAGGTGCTACAGTGGTACAGCTACAGCAGCTCTGTAGTGTAGATGCTTCCTACAGTGACAGAAGGGTGTCACGGGGCAATCCCTGGAAACTCTGCCCATTGTAGCTCCCCAGGCAGTATAATCAGTTAGAAACATTACACCAGGAGAACAACTCATCTACCCTGATGGCCAGACACGGTTTCCAGCAGTGTAACCTTTTCATGGGTGTCACACATGCCAGACAATGAGGCGTACTTTCCCCCTCCCCCCACCCCGAGAGGGGCATTCCCTTCTGTGGAGGGATGTGTACAAGTCCTTTTGAGACACAACAGGTAAACTGTCTTGGATCAGAAACACTGGTCTTGATTTCTAGATCAAAATAAACACCCATCATGCTTTCAAAAGGTACCTACTGGCTGCCCTAGGAAACTTAAAAGAGCTGTAGTGAATCCTCATCTGGATTCCTGTCAGGCTTTGCAGAGTCCCTGGGAGCAGGACAACTGTACTGAAATGTGGATGGAATAAGGAATGCTGTCTTTCCCAGTTTGTCTGAGGCTTTGAGAAGGCAGTTGAGGCTCCTAGCTGATTCTGCTAATTGGGACAGGGAGCCTTGTTACACTAAACAAGCCCTTTAAGTTGACTGTAAAGATGCTTATCCCCCCTTAGAAAATGAAGACAGGGAGCTACAAGGGCTGGACTGGGCTGCATCACACTGAACTCTGAAGAGGTAGCATGAGGCATCCATTTGAGGAAGAATACAGCTTGAGTAATACTAATGTACCTCTCAAATGTGCCTCGATTTAAGGAACATCACATGAAGGCCTTGTCTACACTACCAAGTTTTGTCACCAAAACTGCCATTTGTCAACCCAAACAGTGAGTGTGTACACACTGCGAGGCAACTTTTGCGAGGGAAAATGCCCGGTTTTGGTGACAAAATACATCCATACTCACAATAGATTTATGTCTTTTTCCCCTACATTTTTTTTTGGACAAAGTGCAAGTGTAGACACCATGCTTCATTTCATTGCTTTAATGGGCCTCCAGGAGGTGTCCCACAATGCCCATCCTGATTGCGTTGGTCAGCAGTTTGAACTCCACTGCCCTGCAGCCAGGTAACTAACCATCATAGAATCATAGAATATCAGGGTTGGAAGGGACCTTAGGAGGTCATCTAGTCCAACCCCCTGCTCAAAGCAAGACCAATCCCCAGACAAATTTTTGCCCCAGATCCCTAAATGGCCCCCTCAAGGATTGAACTCACAACCCTGGGTTTAGCAGGCCAATGCTCAAACCACTGAGCTATCCCTCCCTCAGAGAAGCCCTGGGAATTTTTGAAATTCCATTTCCTGTTGGCTCGGCATGGAGAGGTCTCATCGCATCTTCCCCAGTGACCATGGTGGGTTATTGCAGCAAATGCTCTCCCGTTTGAACCACTGCGGAGCTGTTGGATCTGCTCAGTATATGGGGACAGGAGGCTGTGCAGTCCCAGCTGCGCTTGAGCCATAGGAACTGGGATACCTACTGGCAGATTTATCGAGGCTTGTGCGAAAAGGGCTATGATCAGGACACGCTGCAGTGCAGAGCGAAGATTAAGGAGCTGAGGCAGGCATACCATAAGATGAGGGAGGCAAACCATTGTTGCTATCCTCAGTGGTGACCTCACCTCCATCGCCAAGAGCCCGTGGATACTTTGGAGGGCACGGAGATGGCAGAAAGAGGACCTAACCCAGAGGACGAAGTTATTGATGAAGAGGTGGAGTTAGATGAGGATGTGCAGCTCCCGGCGGAGTCGCCTGGTGGAGCAGGTAGCCAGGAATTGTTCTCCACTCCAGAGGTATCTAGTCAGTCTCAGCAGTTGCTCTCAGCAGTGAGCAAGAAGCAGGAGATGAGACTCCTGGCAAGTGGCTGTGGCTTATTTAGTGCGGAGGTGGGTTCAGGGCAAAGAAATGTGGGAGGCTGGCTGTGTTTCCCTGTGTAGCTAATCAATACGGCAGAACAGGGTGTTGATGCATGCTGAGATCTCACGGGAATCCTCCAGAGAGATCTCCAAGAAAGTTTCCTGGAGGTACTTAGTAATCCTCTGCTGAAGGTTCCCTGGCAGAGCAGCTTTGTTCCTTCCCTCATTGTAGGAAACTTTCCCATGCCATATGGAAATCACTTGTGTGGGGACAAAAGCGGCACATAGACGAGCAGCATAGGGAGCAGGGCGGAAGCCACAAGCATGGAGTAGATGTACCCTCATTTCCCTGCTTACCTTTAGCAGTGAGATGTCTGCTAGAATTACCCCGCATGTGGAAAAGTGTTGGAGAATTTTAGAATTTGTTCCCTAGAATGCTGCACCATGACCCTTGCAAAGAGTGTGTGCTCTTTTCCCCATGTGGAGCGGCCCTTCCTCCCCCCTGCCAACATTCGCCATGCTTTAGGTGTTCGCAGAGATGTGTGCCTGGCTAGGGTCAGTGAGAAAGTGATGACAATGTTGCAAAAGGTGTATTTAATTAAAATGTTTCAGTGCTGTGTGTACATTTAACAATCTTGCTTCTGTGCATTGTCCCCTGTGTTTCACCAGATGTGGCCTTCGGGAACACCCCACACACCCCTGCCAAGAGTCTGCACCAGATAAGAAAGCGCCCAAGACTCAGCAAAGAAGACATGTTCCGGGACATCCTGCAGTGCTCCAATGCAGAAAAAAGTGAACGCAAGGAGTGCTGGGAAGCCAAATAGCAGGACAGAAAAGAGAATCACGCGTTTGTTAAGAACGCTACTGAGCAAATGATTAAAGTAATGGAGGAGCAAACGCAGATGCTGAAGTCCTTAATAATGCAGCAGACTGAGCAGATCAGTGCTCGACCTCCACTGCAGCACATTCAGAACGCTTTTCCATGCCCCCCCAAACTCCTCCCCCACATTTCTTTCCACCTTCCGGGACTTCTCAGTTTCCTCTTCACTCCACCCCCTTGGACAACTTTCACAATGAAGCTGGACCTACACACAGTTGTGAAAGTCTGCCCTTCCCTGGTTCCTCCTTTCCCACCAAGCATCTGTGTGTTTGTGTGTGCTTTTTCTTGTGCAATAAAAGCAAACTTTTATAATGGTAAATCATCTCTTTTTTTTCTACAGGGTGAGATTGCAGACACTGCCAATA